TGGTGACGGTCGACCGGCGCGGTCGACCGAGGATGACTGTAGGATTTTCTGCTCTCGGGTTTGATGATTCGGTCGACCGGTGCGGTCGACCGCGAGACCTGCGCGGTCGACCGCCGCGGTCGACCGACGATGATCTGGGCTGAGCTTTCAGGTTTTTGACCCGTTTCGTTTTGTAAGCTATATATATCCTAAACCTGATTTGTTAGGGTATCTTAAGGACGATTTTGAGCAGCCTCTAAGAGAGATTTGTTGCATCCAATTGTGGGAGAGCTTTGAGAACCGACGATGATCTGGGCTGGGCTTTCAGGTTTTTGACCCGTTTCGTTTTGTAAGCTATATATATCCTAAACCTGATTTGTTAGGGTATCTTAAGGACGATTTTGAGCAGCCTCTAAGAGAGATTTGTTGCATCCAATTGTGGGAGAGCTTTGAGACGCGGTCGACCGCGCCGGTCGACCGACGATGATCTGAGCTGGGCTTTTTGGTTTTTGACCCGTTTCGTTTTGTAAGCTATATATATCCTAAACCTGATTTGTTAGGGTATCTTAAGGACGATTTTGAGCAGCCTCTAAGAGAGATTTGTTGCATCCAATTGTGGGAGAGCTTTGAGAGATCAAGTGCTTTGTTTTAGGGTTTGGTCTGAGAGATTTGTAACCCTATTTGTATTCCCTTGATTTCTAGTAGTAAAATCTCCGCCCTCCTTGCCTCGTGAACGTATGCAACTTGCCGAACCACGTAAATTCTTTGTTCTTGCTGTGATTGTGGTTTGCATATTATTTGTGGTTTAGTTCGAGTTATTGTTCGTGTTTCCCTAGAAAGCTTCCGCCGCGCACAACAATTGGTATCAGAGCTAGATCGACAACATAGAAGATGCAAGCACGTCAGGTTCGTCTCTAATAAAGGCGATACAGAGTCTGAGCATCAATAACACGAAGATTGATGTTCCGAAGTTCGATGGCAAGATCAATTTTGGATTGTGGAGGTGTCAGGTGATGGATGCTTTGGATGCACAGAATTTGGAGGAGACT